TGAATTACTGAGCAAAAACTTACTGCTTAAATTTAAATAAACTCATCAAGGTGAAAAAGTGGTGGCTACGCACAGAAAGTTTGTTAAAATTATGTCTATTCCGCGGTACGGGAAATAAAACAACCCAAACTTTGTGTAGTGGTAGACTGTTAAACTAGTAGACACGAAGTTATTTTGATAACGAGCGGCCCGGTATAACTGCAAATTAGCCATCTAGGCACAATGCCTTCACAGCTCGTTATTATACGACTGAAACCACCTTTAGAATCCCACCATACGCAATATAACGCTGAAAATGTGCCTGAGGAGGTTTTTCAAAAAAGCAGGTATAGCGGATGTTCACTTTCCAAAAAAACGCCGCTGATGTTGCCAAACTGAAGCCTGTCTTTAGCCACTAAGGAATCCCCTCGCAAAAGAGATGTACATATAGCAGCACTTTTGAAGGACAGTAACTCTACCACCGAATCCCAATATTTCCAGATGGTACAGTGGACCAAACACTCGCCAACATAATGACTGGCCATTTTCGCCGTCCACTCGTCTAACTTGCGAAAGTGTCACTATTGACAACTGACAGTCAGCACATGACCACGTTATGTGATTTCCGTGACAGAGAAATGAGTGGTGCTGCATCGCGTCTAGGTGATAGCTATTATCCCCGATGATCAGGCAATCGTTGGCAGGATGATTAGATGTTCTAAACAGTAGCCGGAAATTCGTGAGTTCGAAACTCCTTGATTTTTGTTAGATGCGCCAAGCTGAAGGTTTTTAATAAGAACGGCATAGTTGTACATTGCTGTGCAGCTGTACATTTCAGTATGGATTAAGTTTACGTACAAGATGAAATCTGTGTTCACCAATTTCTTGGTCAGTTCAACCTCAACAAAGATAAGCACGAGACGGTAGCATACGCCAAACATGTTTACTTACACAGTGAGCTTTTTTAAATGAGATAACTGAGCTTCTGTCGAAAGAGTTAACTTTCGGATAATTCTATGCTTTGTGACACTGAGTAGAAGTTTGTTCAAAACGTTTACGCGGCCATATCCAACAAATCCTTCTACACCGGATCTGGGGCATGCAAAAACAAGTTCGTGTTTCCGTAATTCCAGAAGTTTGACCCTATGTTTGCTTTTTTGGATGTTAAATTTATGTATCCGAGTTTTTTGTTTACTATTGGCTCGGATGACAAGACGCTGTAGAAGGCCTATCTGCCAAGTGCCTTGTCTAGCTGATTATCATTTCGTAGAGTTGAAATGTTCTTCCCGCTATTTCTTGTTTAGCCTTGGGCCACATAATACGGATAGCATAGGATTAATCGTTGGCCCGTATTGGATATCATTATCTATAATTATTCTTGTTTAGTAGTTTATATTTTCATTTTATCTGATCTGTTAGTCTAAAAATTAGCGGAGTCCATAAAGGCTTCCATAAAATATCTGAAAGGGCGCGCTATTTGGAGTAAATGAATGAATTGCGCCATGAGCTCTTTGGTGTTTTATCTGATGCGCCACATTTTCTACAACTACCTAGATTATCCTCAGCGCGATACATTTCACTTAACCGGAGTCGAATCTCTGCAAGAAAAATGCAACGAGCTACTAACATCAACGGATTTAAACTCTGTACAGGTCGTTGGACTTATCCTTAGCACCAAATTGACGATTTCACCTAACGTCTTCATTAGTAACAATAGCTAGGAGTAAATACTGTCACCTGACTAACACTTAATGCCATGGATACGAGAAGTCTGAATATAGTCGGCGATACTCACTCTCTAGGATGAGACTGCATGACCCCACTGTGTCTGGTTAGATATTTTGCGAGTTATGACTACCAGGCGACATCAGGGCGCTCTTATTTCTAGTTTCTATCCAGAACGCTTGAGTGAGTGTCTGGAGGCTAGGGGCATCTTGGACTGATCGTAGGTGACTAGCACTACCTCCCTTCCCCATTCACTTATGTTCCTTTCTTTACAATAAAGCTATTGAGTGAATCCTGGTTGGATGGCAGCGAGGCATCAGCTCTGGACATTGGCGTTATGCTGTCAATGACGATGCAGCTGTTGCAAATAAAAAACAGGAAAGACTCATCATACTATTGCAAATTGGGCACAAGGACTTATACTCGATTAACCATAGGTTAGATTTGTAATGACCACAAATTAACATGGCACTATAAGTAATTGATCATTTTCGTTTGTTTCATACAATGCCTCGCATTCCTGATACTTTCGTAAGTTGTGGCAAGCAGTATTGCATCAGGCTACTTAGACATTCATTCATATTAGCTTCCTGAGCTGAAATCTCTTGTTTTTGCATGACCTCTTTTCGGCGCGTGAACAGGTTGAAGTGAGTAGGAGCCAGTTTTCATTGAGTGTAAAAATGTTATTCATTCTTTTTGTAACGTAATTTTGCTGGCCTAAAACGGCTGCGCACCAAAGAGAGTACAAAATAAAATGCTTTCTGCCGATTTGACCGACAAATAGTCTGAACCCCATACAACCCTAACCCATGGCATTCGAAGTTCAAAGGTGAGTTATTTTGAATGCAAGATAGCATGCATTGGAATAATTCAACGAACCAGCCGCTTACATATACATTGTGTTGTAACATTTAGCTCAAGGTATTTTCCATAAAATGCTACTTAAATTACAGTTGGCCTTAGTTGAAGATCTATCTCCGGGGAACGCTGTGCTTGGTCGGTCCATCCTGCTGGTCATAACAGGCACGGTTAACTAAGGAATTGAAATTCTAATGTCGAGAATCTTGCCATTTATAGGCCATTTGATTCAGTACTTTCAAATTATTCTTTATCCTTTGATATCCCCATCAAACTTCAAAATGTGGTTTTCAGCGCTCCGCACGTTATATAAGAGCGCTTTTTTTGAAGCATCCTGTTGTATTTATTTCTCTTGTAGTAGAGCTGGAAGGCAACTGAAAACAAGGGAGAATATATTAGTTGGTGGTTAATCGCCGGTCCGGAAATAATATGGGGCATTCTCATTATGGGAGACTAGTAAATAAAACGAGTCTTAGCGTTCAAAGCACTTGTTGTTGTTTTTCAATGGTGTTACTTCCATTTGACTAAAAATAATTGTGCAAATAACTTCAGGAAACAAAACGCATTATAAGCGATATCTCTGCAGCGTCTGATTGTCGGGAGCTGTTTGAATTGAACAGCTGTTTGAGTTCAAATTGCTTGGAAAGCTTTCCAAAACGGTTCTTTCAAAGTTTAAGCACACATGAGAAATCGGAAAAAACGCATCTGCAAGATGCATCTTATAGTCTCTGAAACCAGAGAGGTAAGCTTGTTATTGCCAGTCACTCCTTTGCTGGAAAGTAGGAAAGCTTGGACTTAGGTGATCTGACGTAGTATTAGGATGCGGTGAGGTTTTTGCAAGCCTACCGGAAAGAGAAAATTACCGCAATATGGTTAAAGTTCTGTCTTAAAACTGAAGCTGTGTGATGGTGGTTTGGGAATCCAGATGAATTTGTTTGTACGGTTAAACTTCACAAAAAGCAACAAGATATTCGCAAGAAAACTGATAAGTCCGGCAAACAGACCAACTACGAAACCATGCCCATCTGTATCTGGGTATACTGTACAAAGTGCTCGACCCAAATTCAGAGGGTGTCATTCCTGTTACCAGCAGTGGCGCATTAGATTTATCAATCATAAGTGTGCCGTAGAATCAAGTAGAAGTACACTGACTTGCACATCAGCAACTACTGAAAGGAAGAAGGCCTTCACTGCGGAATCATTTATTAGGAAATTCCAACTGACCGGTTACAGACCATTGGACAGGGACGCAAAACTCTCATTTGCATCTTATTTACAAAAACTGGACAACCATCTTCTCCTGAATGCGTCTCCTTAAAGTTTCCTGGATATTCATTGACTCCAATCATTCCTCGCTCAAATCCAAGCAAACGTTACACAGCAACTTCACAAATTCCACAACAGATCTCCCTATTTCAAGAGACGCAAGGGAAATTCCTCCCCATTAGTAGCACCACTGTCACACTAGTAGTGAGATGACCATTATAGATTAAGCCAACTTTTATAGTAGCCTTGGTTCTGACTTTTACAACATCATCCCAGATGCATAAAAATGCAATTAAACCTGGCTAGTCTTTCTTCTGCTTCTAAAGATCACCTTCTCTAAGAGAGAGCCTGTTAATTGTAAATGAAGGAAAACAGGTTCGTCCGGAACTCAACAAAGTTTAGCTCCAACAGGACTATTTGTTGACGCATAAAAGCATGGTGATGACTGACCAGGGTTTTTTAATGCAAAAGTCCAAAAAAAGTACAAGAGCCCGACAACTACTTTCATATGCACGTGAATTTGGTCTTGAGGTCAATGATCATTCAGATTCAATTGAGTCTCTCCTGTGCACACCAGACTATTTGGCAAACCTATTTAGATTGGTTGAAATCGGAAATAAACTTGATGGAATCTTTGACACCTACCCAGTTAATAAGCCTCAAGAGGGGCAAAGCCAGTCGTGGGTTGTCAAAGAGTTTCCAGCAACCTTGTGAGTAGTGCGTTACGTTTGATAGGAATGAGATGTGTGAAATATTATGAACATATGAACACTTTACACAAAAAGCGATTTCTCCCAAGTTTTTAAAATGAATAGCGTGACGAAAAAGTGTTGTGATTTTGAATAAGCGCCTGTCACTTAAATCTATAAAAAACGATACTTTACAACAGAAGACCTTAAAACATCATTTCTAAACCCTCACAGTTTACTATGCCAAACCGATAGAAAACACGTGCACTGAATCCAAGTGAGTAGTCAAGCTTATATGAGAAATTATGAATTATCTTTACGGATCACCCTTATTAAATTTTATCCCTACAAGTACGCTTGTAACTTGCAAATCAAGGAAAGGCGAATCGGCTTCTGAGTCTTTCGTATTTTAGATATTATTTGTCACTCGTTTTTTTCGAGATTAGCCTGAAATTTCCTGCTTTCTGCGGTTTTATATTTCAGACGAAGAGGAAGATGGAGTTAGTCAAAAGCGTTCGTCCCTGAAAAGACGGTATGGTCTCCACATTCCTGATGAACCCGAGACTCATAAAACGCGAATAAGAAGTTGGGTGTGGATACGATTTAACCGACAGTTGTAAGTTGCGTGTTTCAGCTGCGGTCAGGGTGCGTTTTTGAACGTAAATGTAGAATAACACAACTCACTGATTAGCATGACATTGAAGCTAGACCAAACCACTGCTGCAAAGGATCGGTCACCGGTTATCATGATGTTATTCAAGTTGAAGAGAGAAAATTTTATATTACGTACCCTACTCAGTTTGTGCCTTGCTGGCGAGTTCTGACATTTTTCAAGTCTTTTTAAAAGGCCATGTCCTTCAAACAATTTTTACTGCAAATGTCCTGTCAAAAAGACAATCTAATCAAAACCGACGGGTTGGGACGGCTTCGAAAACTTACACTTTTTTCATTGCTTTAGTTGTGGGCTTAAAAACCATAAATAAATGCGGAAACCTATAGCTAGAATAGTCACGTGACAATACTCAACAAAGAATGAATCGTTTACTAGCTGGCCTCATCTGGATGAGTCATGTGAATAAGCTGTTCTAAATTCTTGCATTTTTGGGGATAATTATTTCGACTGAAAAACGTATGACTTAACAGTTTTTTGATGGTTTGAAGGTAGTGTAATATTTTTTCACCCGGAATTCAATCCACCAACATAGTCTGTACCGAATAACTTAGAGTAATTCACATTTGTATCATGCTTACCGAAGAACATCGGAATTATCATTGATCTCCTGTGAGATTCACACCAACGACCCCCTGACTGGTGGTTCAGTAGCACTATATCGTTTATAAACACGAGTTAATCACTTTACTAATCAGACGCTTGCAGACAGTCATTCGGTAGTTAACTGCCAGCTTGGGTTTGCAGGTTGAAGCATACCACGAAGTTCATGGTCACTCGACATCTTGACTGAGAAACCGTTTGCAACTTCACTTGGTCCAGTTGCACATAACTAGGATTTTAGTAGAAAGAAACGCATTTTAGTCATCTAGTCCCGTAGTGACCTATTTTTTCCACCAGAAGCATACAAGAAATGTGCGGAATTCTTTTATAAAATATAGGTTTTTCGTATTTTTGTCTTCCTGCTCTAATGTCGAGAGCAAATACTAAACCAGAAATCAGAACAGCACTATACTGATCCTCTGGAGAGAAAACCCTTTCAGGAAGGTAACTACATCTCTACGCTTGCGAATTCCATTCCTAAAAAGTAACCTTTCTTACTTGCTTAAAAAATTTGGTTTTCCCCCATGAGGTTCACCCCTTTTTGGGACGACACATCACAACGGACATGTCATGTGACCGTCATTAGTGCATTATTGTACAAATTATTTTGCCATAATCCCACCTGGTCACATTAAACCGGTGAGTTCTTATCGACTGGGTTTGACGAGTTTCTGAATTGCAAATAGCATTGCTTTTTGGTATGTTTGGGATATCTGCAATCGGCAGAACTGTTGTGAGACAAGGTGTAACAGCACACATTGATTAGGCGATTATGAAATCCGAAAAAGGTCGCGTTGCTATACGATGGTGTATCTTTTGTTGAGTAGATGAAAATGTATGCCATAACGACCATTATGCGTGACTACGAGTAAATCAGACTTAGACAAGAATAATGAATTACTAGAGCATTCATTTCAGATGAAATAGAAAACTCTGTTCCGCCGGCAAAATAACAGTGAAAATCAGTTTTTTCGGCTCAGTGAGATAGTGCAGTCAGATTGATCTGGCTTTCCTTTAGAGGAGGAAACGATTTGATGAATAAAAAACATTCACCAACTCGCTGGCGTTTCCGTAAGAAAGATAGCATTTTATTGGAGCAATAGGATTTTCAATGGACTGCAATTTTAAGCAAGAGTGTAGCCTTCGACAGCGCACAATACTCAAGAGCAGTTAACAAGACTCAGTCAGCAGCCCACCCCCAAAAAATGGCCATAATTGATTGGCCACGTGGCCAAGCCTACTTCAATTACTCAATAAATGTGATTTTAACAATTCATCCACAAATGAACCAACCACAAGTTCAAATCAAAGTGGATTTTCTTGTTCTGGAGATGCAAAATCCGGAGGTCCCTCAAGCTAAACCCCACAAAAGTCGTTTGACGGAATCGTATATTACAAGGTTTAAAGTGTGGTGGAGACACGTTAAAATAAACAAAACTTTCGAATTGATTTTGATGCCTGTTTTAAGAATTTGGTAGATCATGTTCCAATTCCTTTTGTGGTGTGATGCGTTAACTGAATCACCATTTGGATATTCAGTTGAATTATTCAACACTTTCTGCATCACACGTCTTGTACACTATCAACTCAATCTTTGGCATACTTGTAATTCCTGAATGATTCGTTCATTTTTCAACCTTAAACCTGAAAATCCGGATGTTGGGTTCATTCTCTAGAAGCTTTATATTAGTTAGTGAATAACTTTCTGAGTCGGACTTGGTTGCACCGTTATTTCAAAGACAAGGAATCACCATGCACTTATAGTTAACTATGTTGGTCGTGGGAAAAGATGACGGTTAGGGTGAAGTAGGACTGCTACAAATTTGGTAGCTAATCTCATCTGGCAAACCCGTGATAAATAAGCCAACACTTTTAACCGAAACAGCACTTCAGAGGTCTCTGTTTTCTTGTCTGAGGGGTCTGACAATGACAAGATTTTTCTTTCCGATAAACATTGCTGAAGCTGTTCATAAATTTTAGCACAATTTCAGGCCCGTGACTTGCTAATTTTCTGGTGATTAACCAGCCTAATGGAATACTCCGATTGTACACCGGAAGGCAAACAGTCGTTTAGACTAGTAAACCCTGGTGCACATTCAATCTGGCTGAGAAAAGTTTATAAGTTGGTTGCGTGCCTATGAAACACACTCCAATGTCATAGCTGACTGTAAGAAGGAACATGTAATGGGTAAAGCTGTGAAAGAAATAATTTGGCAAGCTCCCTGATCTTATTGACTGATCGAATGCTCGCGAGAGAAAACAACCCCGATAACCACTGGCGGTAAATGTCTGTGTCAGGCGCTTTTAGCGGAATTCACACAGGGGGCAACCAGGTAGTGAAACACTTCAAGGGAAAGCCGGTAAATGTGGTCATTTATGGCTGATTACTGTACGGTCGGTTAACCTCAACAACAAGAGCGGACATGTATGGAAAAACTACCTGACCGGTGCCTCAAAACAAACTAATCAGTAAAACATTAACGGACTAAAAACTTTTGATGTGTACAGAATAGTGAACTGTTAGTGATCAAAAATGGTGCGCATTGATTTCAATTGCCTCTTTATTAAGGTCTTTGAAAGTAGCTGGAGGATAAATTTTCGGAAATCATTCTACATTCTGCGTAATTTTGTTGTCAGAGGATGAAATCAACACCGGTGCAATGAGAACTCCAAATCCGCGTAGCAGTTAACACGTAGCTTCAAAAAATCACTGTGTACGTTGCTGAAATCTGTGGAAAAGTGACGACGATTCTCATCAAAGACGCCCGTATGCAAACAGAATTGATAATAGTCGAAATGGTTTTCCATTTTTTTATTTTGTTTCCTCCTACATATCGAATCAATTAACTAGTCAAAAAGGGACCTACTAGGGAAATCGCAAAACATCATCATCCACACTTTTTGTTTGGTAGTAAGGTAAGTAATAACTTGAATTGAGTATATGAACTGGCCACAGGAGCATTAGTGTGCGCATTTCTAGATATATATTCTTGTAACAACAGTGTGCAAGCTTACGTTTTCCATTATCACTACCCTGCTGTTTTACTGATGTGATAACAGGTGGAGAACTTTTTCGGTTGTCCTATCCTGTAAGTTGATACAGCGGTCTACAGTTGTCAGGACACTGATATCCGCGGTCCTAATTTTCACAGACGTTCACTACATGTATCTGCAGATTAAAAATATCTTTAAGAAGTGGGCGTTTTATATCATATTTCCCAAATCGACATGCATTTGGAGTCGCAATCAGCTAGTCAGCCATTATACACTGAATTTCGCAAACTAATCACGTCGCAATAACATGAATAGAGGCGTCAGTAAAGGAGCAGACAGTAAAGAGGCAGACAATAAATAAGTGCTTAAAACACTTCCACTCATAGTGTTCCGTAAGCATCACTATGTCTTCGAAATCTTTGTGTTTTTTAATCCAACAGGCGAATTTACCGTGGAATTTTCCAGACAAACATGTTTTGTATGCGCTCACAGATTCAGAAACTTATTCCTTTCAAAACATGCCTAAGGAACTCTGGTGCGTTTTAAAAATCACACTGTTGAATGTCTCCTTTTCTATTTCACGTCTGTCGTCTGTTTGCTGGATGTGACACGGCGTTCCGTACTTTTTCACTACTTTGAGAAACACAATATTGGAAAGATCAGCCTCATAGGCACTTTCATCTCTGTTAGGACAAGCCGTCCGGAATACAGGGCTTGCTGATTTGACCATCTGTAGAGCGGTTTCAAGCTACAAAACTTTGACCACGCGAATAACAATCTGTTATATAACTAATGAATTCTTCATTCAAGGCAATGAGTCTCAGTAAAGACGAAAATAAACATGTGGCTGAGATTTTTGGCTTACGACTACACATTTACCCTACACACCCGCTAAACTACGGTCTTAATCCTGGTGGATTTCAGTTGAGATTTTCTTATGGGAGTAGAGCCGATGTCTCAGAGGCCTTGTTGTCATAATGTGATAACATCAAGCAGCACATGATCCAGTTGCGAGAAACATCCAGAAACAGCAGCTACAGCCGATTGGTCATACGCTACGCATGCCGAAACATGGTCTACCGAGATAATTGTGGGTTCTTGCGGTTCTATGGAATGGCACAAACTGCAAGGCAGCCATAGTAGAACGGAGGCCATCCAGGATGTTATCTGCACGACCCATTTGCACTTAGCCATGCATATCGCAAGGGGTAGAAACTCACTGATATCAGTTTATGATGTCAGATTCTTTCCTGAGTGTCTTACGAAACGCTTGGATATGTGGGTATCTCAAAAAGCTTCCGATAGGTCTGCACCGCCAATTGTTATTTACCTGCTTTACCATTCGTTAG